TGTTGCAAGGCGAGCGGGGCCCTTTGGGGGGGCAGGACAGAACATTGCTTTAGGATAAATGTTTTGATCATGACAGGGATGAACTTCAGGGCTGTGTGCATGAGACAACTGTTTTTGACTAAGGGCATACAGTTCCAACAAAAAACAATGTAAAACCCTCTAATTTGTTATGTGAAAAAAAAAAACTCTGAATCATCCCAGAAGTCCTAATTTATGGTGTGAAAACACTGTATGTGAGGCGCTAAATGATGCAAAAGGATGAGACTTTTTGATGAGGAGTGCAATCAAAGCTGGTGTACCCTACAATTAAAGTTTGATAAAATAATACACATCAGATGATTATCCCACTATGGTCCCACTTACGCTCCAGTTTTCTTTGCATCTTCTCTCTGTAGTGCAGAAAACGACATCAAATCCATGTTACAGCCTCCACCAGAGACCTTGTTAATTAAAATAACACACAACGCTCGACTCTCAGTTCTCCTGCCGCAGTGATGGTCACCAGTCAACATCAGCAGATCGATGTCCTGTATAAAACTGCCCTCTGTCATTTGGAGGGACGAGTGACAGCCTCTGTCCCTTATTGACTGTTGTTACTTATAAAAGCCACGCTGGGAGTCCTGATAACGCGCTACTGACTCACTGTCAACAGTTATAGAGAAACTACATTCTGGGTTCAAGCATTTCCATATTAAAAAAAAAAAGATTTCAAGTCCATGAGGACAAGTCTGACAGAGGTTACTGGACCAAATCACAGCTACTCTATATGATACGTGTGGATGTTTTTTTTTTTTTTAATAACTAGATTTGTCACTTATTCTCTAACACTGACTGTTTGAATGTGTGCAAAGATCATTTTTCTTGTATATTATACATTATATAAAGTAATTGCTAAGATTTGGGAAGATGGTTGTCTTTGCTACAGCAGAGTCTGGTGAGTCAAAAAGGTGCCCTCCCAGTTTACAGAAGCCCACAGAAAATAGATAATATCAGCTGAGGTGTTCACTTTATTTAGAATATTTTCACCACTTTATTGTCCGTCAAACAGCCCTTTATCTGGAACTGCAGTTTGTGAACCGTTGAAGTACTGTATTCCTACGCACAGGTGCACCTAGGGCACGCAATGTATTACGTTAGCCGTGGTTGGTAATGAGACTGGAGCTGTTGTGTCCCCGTCCGTCAGCATGGGTTTACAGTTCACACATCTACACACAGGTAGCTTGGGCTCTTCATGGCATCCAGCTTCCACAGAAGTTTCCCTACTCTCTGTTTCAGCCCATTCATTCTCCATTTGCAGAAGTTCTTGTGTGTACTGGATCATAAAGGTATACTCCTGTCTCCACTCTCATAATCACTCATCTTTAATTTGTTGTCTCTTTCACAAACTGCTGAACAGCTGATCTGCAGCGTAATGCAGTGCGGGTCATAGATCTGCTTATGCATAATACAGTGGTTCAACAGTTCAAAACTGTAGTTCCAAAGGAAAGGGCTGTTTGACGGATAAAGTGGTGAAAATATTCAAGATACAACTGAAAATTAAACTGATATTTGCTTTCTTCAGATTCCTCAAATAAGACACCATCAAATAACCCAAACTAACCCTTTAAATGTAAATGTCATCTAATACAATATCACACACCCCTAACTTGGATAATGCTGTTTCCTTTCCGGAACATGACGCACACAGCACCACAGCTGGTAGAGACAGCAGCACAGAGTGGACGGAGACTGTCTAGGTCGTTAGCCGTAGCTAATGTAGCTTTGCGAAGAACCAGCATGGACACAAAAAAAATTCCACTGGATTCTCTTGTGTCTCACTGGACTGTGCTGACCAGATTATTTCATTCCTAAATGACATGAAATAAAGGAGTGATTAACTGAATGTTTTACTGCTCTCAACTTTAGAATATGTCAGCTAATCGGCTACTGTGAGGAGAGGTTGAGCACTTCTTTGGTGCTAAAAAGATAGTAAGTGAAAGCTGTGCAAATGAAGTGAGAGGAAGAAATTATTGTATATATTTGAAAGTAATTTTAGTTGTCACATAAGTATAACCATTATCAGAAAAGTATAGATGGTTGTTGCTGTATTACAGAAACAGGAATGCTATCAGGCAGAGGAGAGACAAGCAGCAGGTGAGAAAGAAAGGACAGCACGTAAATATGTGCACATATGAATGTAAATAGTATTTTTAATAACTGCAATGAATTATGGAGATGAATGAAGTATTAATGTGCTGGTTGCACATCCACTAGTGTAATTAGTCTGTCGGAGAGAATGGCAGCACTTCTAATGAGATTTATGCTATGTGTTGCAGATTAAATATCCATTCAGAGTCTAATATGTAAAAATGTCCACATGTCTGTGTGTGTGTGTGTGTGTGTGTGTGTGTGTGTGTGTGTGTGTGTGTGTGTATGTGTGGTTTCTGTAAAGAATATAAAGATACATTCAGCTAAGTGGATTAATGATATACAATACTGTCTTAGGCATCTCAAATACTTCCTATAAACATTTGTCTCAAACATGCAGCTTAGTTTCTCCAGGAACCTTTTCACTTTAAGTTTATGTTTGTGTATTTTGTTCGTTTTTCCTTTTCTACTCCCCGTGTTCTTTCAAACAAACTCCCCCATCCTGTCACCATGAACTCACTTAAACTTGCAACTTTGAACATCTGTGGATTTGGTTCACAGGCAAAAAGGCTTCAAGTAATCAACCACATATTACAGGCAGATATATGCAGATATATATCACAAGTTAAGAACACCACAGTTTAAGGGGTAGACATTTTATGATGCAAAAATATCTCTTTTATTATTTTACGACACCATCACAGATCCTGAATGGCAATTTGTCACATCCCCAACAACCTAATCACCAAAATCATGATGACTCATCCTCTTCTTCCAGACCTTTGTCACCTCATTGTCAAATCTGTCTGACTCACCAATAACAATTGGAGGACATTTCAAAACAATCATGAAGCCATCATTAGACAGAGCTAACAATTTACATAACTACCAATCCACAGAAATGACTAACCAGTTCATGAGTGATCTTAGTCTTGATGGCTGACGTTTAAAATACCCGAACCACCAGTTCGCAACTCCCCATATTAATTTCCTTTTAACAATAGAACTCAAATATTTACAAAATCTCAATCATATTAAGTGCTCCCTGCTCATTAACCCTTACTTTGATAATTATATTATTTTCATGAAATAAATGATTCACAACATAAAGCATCATCACTACTTACTTACTGTATTAACACAAACAAGACTAAACCTAGTATATGGCTGGACAACATATGATCAGTGAGTGAAATTGAGGACGTTTGTTAACAACTGACATCAACTTCCTATTATCATTGAATCTGGTGTCAGCTGGTTTCAGTCTAGTGTCAGCTGGTTTCAGTCTAGTGTCAGCTGGTTTCAGTCTAACTTAGGCATCTAGTGTCAGCTGGTTTCAGCCTATAGTGTCAGCTGGAATAGAAGAAGTTTGAAACAGTGACTGAAACGTGGCCCATTAAGACATGTTAACCAGCAGTCACTTCCAAGCTGCTGCTTTGCTGCTGCTGAAATCCTGATTGTATAACCACTATATCGTCTGACAACATCACCAAACACAGAGTAGATACACAGAGAGGGCAGAACTATGGTGACTCGCTTCTAAGTAGCAAAGGTTTGTCCAAGATTATATATTATTATTATTATTATATATATTAGATTTGATCCAAGGTGCTTTTATCGAAAGAAAAGTCTCTACATCTACTGACAAATGCTCTAAGTTGGCAACACTGCAGACTGTGAATGTCCCCTAATAGAAACTGTTTGTGACAATTTATTTTGAAACAGCCATAGCCAATGTGAAAACTCCAACTAAGTCACTAAGCCACTGTTGTGGTTCAGCCAAAAACTAAACAGAAATTAATGCATGTAAACTTTAGGACACCCAATTAAGTAAGTTCTCTCTTTGGCATGTATCACAGCTTGCAAACTGGCTAGCCTAGAGTCTTTCTGTCTTCACCCACTCTTCCTTCAAGTTGTGAGATATTGTAGGGATGTCTTACACGCACACACACACACACGTTTCACATTTACCCATTCCAATTCAATATTTATATTGTATCAATTTAGTTTTATGTTAATGTTTAACTCTCATCAGAGATGAATTCTCTACTACTGTCCATTACCTTAATGTTGCCCCCTTTTCCTGTGGGAGCTCTGTGTTGTAGCAGTCACTAAGAACATTTAAAGTCTGGACATAATGCCACCATAGCTCAGAGTGATAAGGCTTCAGTTAACAATGCTAATTTACCATGCTAATTCACACCCTTCCTGAGTACAGTGAGGAAATTACCTAAGCAAATTTACAGTTCAAATATTATGCCTCATCAGTTTGTAAGCTGATCTGGAGTTGGATCTGGATTTGTTTGTAATATATCATGGACCAGGACTGAAATATTGTTCGGCTGTAAACGTTACTAGATAAATTCAGTAACAAACTGAAATGAATCAGTTGAATTGAATGGTTCTAAAGTCCTCACATTAATGGAAGCTGATTGGCAGACAGCAGCAGTTCCTCAGACGCACAGTAAATGAAGTGAAGTCAAAGCTTTCCTCGACTGCTACATACTAGTCTGACTGGGTGATGTGAATATAACGAGTTAAATTTTGGTACTGATGAGGTGCTTATCTTCTTATCTTCAGGTTGATATATACGGGTGGCAAATTAAAGGAAGAACTAACATAAACTATCTTTTTAAGATATACTGTATGTATATATTTCAACACATTCTGTTTTGAAATGTGGACGCTGAAATGAAATAAGCTCCTCATACACCCACACATTCACCCTGCAGCGAATGTGTGGGCTGGAGAACAAATAACAATGAGTTAAAAGAGGTTAAAACCTTGGGTGCTAATGCATGGCTAATGTATATACATTCAGAAAACTCTAGCTACGTTTCCCTGTGTGACTGGGCACTGGGACTGCCACTCACCATGATGCACCACTCCCTTCAGGCCGTGGATTATGGGTTCAACAGCAGGATTGTCCTTCCCTCCCACCTGTGGGACACAAAAAGACAGGTCTGCTGTAAGATACAGTGATCATCACATAGCAGTATTATTCATAGAAGACAGCATTTAAATTATTTTTATTTCTTTGGACACCTCAACCACATCCCGGACCAGTCTGCCCACTGAACACAGAGACCAAACCATCCATCAGACTCCTGTCTTAGTCAGCCAGCCCTCTGTTAGAACTCCCTGCTTTATTTTGTACCCTCTGCTGCTGCAGTGTCCAGTTATCTACACTTATGAAGCACGTAATATAATAGCATTGCACACTAGAGTGTGTTTTAATTCACTGAAGAAAAAAAGAGAAAAACACACTGAGGTTAAATCAGGAGAAAGAGAAAGGTGATAAAAGTGACAAAGGGGGAGGAGAAAAGTTGAAAAGCACCGAAGAGATACTGAGAAAACAAGTGCGGTGTAATTAGGAGAAACAAACAGCAGCAATCAACAAGCTCTCAGAGGCCCTCTACATATGAACTCAGAGTGTGTGTGATGTCACAGTAACACATGCATTTTCAATGTCTTCAATTAGAGCATCATTGTTGTCATGGCGGCTGAAAATCAATAAAACCAAAGAACAAAAAAACACAAGTCTTTTCTGAAACACTAAAACTGATCTTCCACCTCTGCAGTGACGCCTTTGTTAAGATGCACAGAAAAACAACCTGTTTCGTTGCTTTGTGTTATTCTTAACCAAGTCACAGTGAAGTGGTTTGGGGAAATGAAATCATCAGACTACAAAAGGTGGACAAGTTTAATGGACACATGCCTGTTTTCTGTTTGATTTCAAATGTAAGTTAGATAGATGAGATACGTTTGAATGACGTGCTGTTAAAATGGCAGAAAATCACTGTTATTAAGCACATTGTGGGACGACAAGAAAGATGGACAGTTAACAGAGACAGCAGGGCACGATCAAGTCCACTTGCTTTGTACATGTTAAACACAAACAAGAAAAGAACTGTTTCCTGTAGATATATCAGTTTTTCAGGTTGTAATTGGCTTCACTGTCAATGTTCTGCTGTCAACAGGTTTCACTGGGAACTTGTTTCTAACTGTCAGCAGCGAGGTCTGGATTATTCAGAGGAACCAGGAGTGTGTTTCTGCTGTTGAGTTCACAGAGCCAACCACAACCCTGGCTAACCACACACTGATTGATGTTAGCATTGTGGGACCACAGAAGAAAGGCTCAGCTGACAAGAAAGTGTCAATCATGGAATCAGTAGATCATAAAAAATGTTGCCTTAACTGGCATTAACATTAAAAATAGCATAGTGTTGTTTATTGCTCGGCAACATGACCACCCACACTGTATTTGAATAGACTGAGATAAAATCACACTCCTGTTTTGACCAGAGTTGTACATCACTGGTGCACTTTGGACTTCTGACAACTGTGATTGAGACTACTGCTTAACTACTAGGCCAAATAGCTACTGCTACTGATACCACATGGGGACTGCTCCAACTACTGCAGCAACCACTACTAGCTACTGCAACTGCTAAAGCTAACACTGACTCAGTGGTGCGCAATGGCTTTTATAGATAGACAAGCAGAGCAACAACCAACTACACCATTAATAATTAATAAGACAATTTACATTTTAGAATCATTGATTTTAGATCATAAATCAAAGCTTAATTTGCTTGTTTACTTTCTACTCCTGCCTCCTAACACTCATGGAGAAAGAAGTGGTGCAGTAATTTTCTATTGCACAAGTTCATTTTCTACACACATCTGCATGTGTATAATAATGCGTGCAAACTGGACGCTGAGTCAAGGACAGCTTGAAACACTTTGGTTATAGCTAGTCACTCGTCAAAGATCCCAGGATTATCCTCACCTCTCCACTAGACAAGCTCCAGCCTTTGTCAAAGGGACACAGTCACACCCATTAAAATGACAGAAACTATAGATACAAACAGCTGATAGGCAAGCTAGCTTTCAGAGACAATACCATGCTTTCACCACAAGGGGGCACTAGATCACAAGATGAAAGCAAAAAAGTTTCAGATCCTTTATGAGACAGAACACTGTTCTGAGATCAGATGAAAGGAGAGATACAACTTCACTTTAGTATCGTTCTAATCAATGTATATTTTTAGCTTCAACTGGACAAGCACTACCTGCCTTGTTTGTCCTGCTACAAATAATACAATTACTAACACAACAACCACTACTAGCTACTGCAACATGCAGCTACAACTAGGCCACTGCTGCTTGCTGCCTCTGCTACTGTTGTATACTTTTATGTTGTCTACAGTTTTGTATGTCAGGGCCAGACTGATTACTGTGTAGGCTAACAATCTTGCGTTATTTAAGAGTAAGCTACCCTTGCTGCGCCATCTGGACAGCCTAAACTGTGCACTCGCAGCCTCTTGTCTCTCCCAGTGTGTTCACTGTCCACTGGAAGTCATTATTTCCTGATAAAATCTCTGCTCCTGAATTTATATAAACTGAAATTGCTACTACTACACAACAACCACTGCTAGCTTGATACAGCTACAACAATAACAATTGCTCCTAATAATCCACCTCACTGTCAAATTAAACATAATTATGCACACATTAATGATAAATATGCATTAAATCATCAAACTGCAGCATATCTCATAAAGGTTACCTCTTTTAGGTAAAAGGTAAAACTATCAGAGACTTAAGTTTTTACTTGCAGTCATCAGTGTAGATACATTTAAGAGAGCAACCGACTGCTTCATTGTGTATAAGACAAACTAAAGCAAACTACCACACATCCACTGCCAGCAACCATATCCAACAGCTAAGAGACTGCCAAGACTGCTGTCATGCCTCCCCTCCCTCCCTCCCTCCACTCTCCACTACCTCATCTCTCCTGGATTTGGTGATACACACTTAACCTAGGGGTTTAACAAACACAAACACAATGTCCAGTTGGATTTTGAAAAACACACTTGTTGGCTAGTTGAATTTAATTATCAGGTTTGGTGTGAAGGATTACTGGGATCTGTACTTACACTGCCTGCCTGCTTGGACCACAGCAAAAGCACATAGAACAAAACACAGGCTGTTCAATTTCTGTGCTTTCATCGAGCACATGAGCAAATCCTGTTCCAAAGAAACCCATTTCTGTGGATGATATGTTGAACAATTTTAGATAATTCCCTTAAGCGGGTGGGAAATACAAATATATTGTTCATTCTGTTTACTTACATCGCTGTGGTGATTGATCATGCAACACACAAATGTTACCATGATGCATGAAGAGCTGATTATGGAGGTGTTGGGGACCGGCTGCTAGATAGAGGCCCCTCTTCCAATTCCAAGCTTTCCCTCCTGCTCACTAACAACTTGTGTTTGGATGTTGGCCCAGAAGAAGTGCACTGCTTCCTTCATATGGTAACCAAGAGTACTATCTCCTGGGGTGTCGAGTGGCGTAGTGGTCTAAGCAGGTGCCCCATGTGTAGAGGCTACAGTCCTCGCTGCAGTCGGCCCCGTTCGAGGTCCGCATCCGACGGCCTTTGCTGCATGTCATTCCCCCTCTCACTGCTTCCCCATTTCCTGTCTCTCTACTGCACTATCAAAAAAGGCATAAAAAGCCCCAAAAAATATACTTAAAAAAAAAAAAAAAAAAAGAAAAAAAAAGAGTACTATCTCCTTCAGAGTGGCTTTAATACAACCTCCCATTGGCTGTTTCTTCAAGATGTTCTCATATGAGAATAACATGTCCTGCTCTACACTGGTGTTACCTTCACCTAAACGAGTGTTGTGGCTATTTTAGGAAGTATTGGATATATTAAGATCATAAAAAAACAGATCTGTTTCTCCTAATTCCACCCTCTGCAGTTTGTTCTGCATGTGTCAACGAAAGTGCCAAAAAGTTGTCTCCACACCCTGTAGAATAGCACCATGCGGATGGCCCATAAGACTTTTTACCATGTGATTGATGCATCTGCTGTAGCACTAGGAAACATTTGCTGAAAGTGATGTGATCATGGTGGGTTTGGCTGTGTGCAATTGTCTGTATGGCAGGCACCTCCCAGCTTTTATAACTACATGTTTGTTAAGACCCACACAAGCTGGTGGCTCTGCTGGAAACACGGGTCAGTTTGAGGAGAGGCTGATTGATGAGATTAGTTGACCTTCTCAACTGCAGTTTTATGAAATGGTGCGGTATACACTTGAAGGTGAACTTTAAGGTGTACTGTATCAGTCAAGCAAAAGTGCAAATGAAAAGCAATTGCTCTAACATGTGATATGTGTCTGGATGCCTCGTCTGAATAATGTGATCACGTGCCTTTGCATTTACGTCTGGTAATAATAAAGGTTAATTCAAAACTACTTTCAAAATTAAGTCAGCAGAGTTGGCAGACTTGTTAACAAATGATAGGGAAGTAATGCAGGACAGTCTAAAGGGACAACAAAAGTACGAGTGGAGGAACATCAACATGCATCTGTAGGTTACTTATCAGTAGACTTCTTAACTATACTGCTAGCGCTAGCTTGGCTACCCCCAATGGTAAAGTGACTCTAATCTTGAACGTCACAGTGCTCCCTTGGGAGTTTCCTGGAGTGAAGCTGCTGTGCTTTTCCTTTTTTCCTATCACAGATGAATGGCCCCTCTCCACTTCCAGATGCATTCCTGCCAGTCCACTAGAATCCCGTGAAATGCATTTTTCATAGATTTTACAACCCTACCGTATCAAGATAAGTTATCCATTTACATTTTACATTTACATTTACTCATCTGGCAGACACTCTTATCCAAAGCAACTTAAAAGTGAAGGACTACACTAAAGCTTCAGAGCAGTAGGAGACAGTGAAGTAAGTACTAACTGCTAAATCTATTCAATAAGGCAAAGTGCAAGGGGATCAGGTAAACAAGTGCAGTGAAAGTGCACAGTAAGTGCTAGTTAGGCATGTTAGGGTGTTAGAGGTGTCAGGTGAGGAGGTGCTCTCTGAAGAGATGAATCTTGATGATACAGAGGGGACGCCCTGCTCTGACAGACTTTAGT